GTAAAGGGCTTGCTATGGTAGCAGAATGACTGAAAACCACCCCTAGTACCTATGTTAAAAGCGAGGTGAAGCTGCTTGTGCTTGTTATCACAGTGCCAAGGAAGAAAAACAGGAACATCCATGGGCTTGCTGGCCAGCCAATTTGGCTGCATTAGCAATCTCCAGGTTGACTGAGACACTCAGAAAGATAAAGTAAAGAGCAATTGAGGAAGACACACAGATGTGAGCACAAACAGACACACACAAAGAACAATATAAACATTTCCCACTGGATAACATTGGCATCGGTACTACACACTACATATGACCCATACTAAATGTCCCTGCATACTTCTTTTTCCTCCAACCTGTGGAGGCTGCTGGCCCATCCTCCCAGTTTCTTCTGTGTTTAAAACCCTCACACAACCTTTGACCTTGCTCTTTCTCTTCCATTAATTACATCTTCTCTTTCTCAATTCATTGCCACCCCCACAGGAACAAATATCTACTATCTTGCATGTATAAAAGTAACAAGTATTTGTTACTGTACTTGTTACAGTAACAGAAAGCTGAATTAACACAGATATGCTGTCTTTTATTGGTGAAAAATAGGATTTTATGTTTGAATAATTTCAAGAATAAAATTAAATATAATTGTAAAATTTATTTGCATTTGTGACAGTCCCAAAGAGAAATGTATCCCATTCTTTTTTGTCTTGTTTTTATTTAACATAATTTCTTTATTGAATCTTTTGTAATTTCACATCATGCACTCCAATTTTACTCAGCTCCCAGTACCATTATATCCTCCCCTCACCCCTGCAGTGCCCCTATAAAAGAAAATTAAGAAAAATCAAACCAATCCAAAACAAAATAAGCAAGCAAGCAAACAAGGAAACAAAAATAGAAAGAAAACCAAAAAGTCTGTAACTCCTAGCCCTAGCTTGCCTTCTCTGGACACTTCTGTTCTTAGATTTGTCATGTTCCTTCTTCTACTATGTAATGGTTATTTAGGATCATATCTAATTTTATAAGTAGACTGAAAGGCACATTAAGAGTCTGCAAAACAATTGTTGATGAATTCCCCTGAAATAAAAGACATGAACTATATACATCTTCCCAAAACAGATTATATCAGCCATCCCAGAAAATTACAGTTTCAGCCTTATTGGTCTCCCAGATGCTGCCTATTTATAAGTCAGCAACACAGTGATCCTTTAAAAGCAGTCAGTCTCACTCCTCCATGCAAAGCTCCCAGTCGCTTCCTTATCCATGGTCCTCATAACAGCTTGCACCATCCTGCATACTCTAGGTACTTTCAGATATCATTTCCTATAGTCTCTCCACTCTAGGTCTCCCCAACTGTAAGGCCCTGCAGTCCTTCAGGTATAGCTGCAGAGCTTTTGCAAACGTTTTTCCTTTCACCCAGAACAAGTTTCCTTCAGGCATCCTGCAAAATCTGTTTTAGATCCACTGAGCCCTGACTTGGAATGCAGGAAGCTTATGTGTGCTTAACAATAGTTTCTTGCTATGCCCTCAGTACTGCCCTCTGGAGTTCAATCAAACAAGTCGGTACAGCATGAGAATCACCAGTTGCAGCAGAGGCTTTTTGCCTGTTTCCTCAGAGTGCTGGAACCAGCAGCAAAAAGAATATGACTTGCAGGTTCACAGCAGCTGCTGCAGACAGAGCATAGTGTTAAACACAGCCATGACATCACAATCACACTGTTTCTTCAAAAATGAACTGTAAAGGGAAAAGATAGAAGAAAAAAATGCACTAAAGACAATTGTAGCTTTATAATCTAAGCAGATCTTTGTTGTTGTTGTTGTTGTTGTTGTTTGTTTTCTTTGTTGTTGTTGTTGTTGTTGTTGTTATAATGTGAAAATTTATGTAAAATAACCAGGGAAAAACTGAACACTAACTGGATTTTGGTTGAAAGTAGTAGTTCTGGTTAGTTTCTTAAGGTGTGTTAATTTAAAAAGGAAACAGTTAATACCTAGAGATAAATTAATGTACTGATGGACGAAATGAGAGGCTGTGATGAATACGCTTTAGTTAATCTATGTGAGGGATACAGGTCAGATGGATGAGGACTGCAAAAACTGAAGCCGTGGGGTAGACCTGTCAGAGTCAGTATGCAGTGTCTTCATTATGCTGTTACTCTCCTGGATATGCTTTACATTTACAGTAAATCAGAAAGTTCTATTGGTGACTGAGGAAAGAAAAGTGATGAGATAGAAAATAATGTAGAGGTAGAAAAATAAAAACTTCTCATTTCCTATAATTCTGTATTGTTACAAGTGCTGTTTTATTATTTTATCTGTTAATGTTATAATTTTTAAGTGCCTTATGAATAATTAAGTTGCTCTTATGGGAATTTCTAGGCAGTGAAAACTTGTAAATTTGTTTCCAAAGTACATGGTTAATGTGTATCTTTTTCAATTTTTAATAAGTTTACTTTTTAAGATTAATTTTTGGTGGGCATACAAAGAAATGATTTCACTGTGATATACAACACTCTGCTTGTGGCTACTCAACTCCACTGCCCCCAATCCTCCTCTCATCCTCTCTACCTTCAGATCATGCCCCTTCATCTTTCAAGTCACAAGGCCTATCTCTTCCATAATATCTCTAATGCAGTTTTAGCATTTAAATTTCAGTAATGTTTATTTTGATTGTTTTATGTTACATTGTCAATACTGATCCATGTTTGCTAAATAACAGGTTATATTAATGACTAAATCTATTATTTCTAATTATAGTCATTTTTTATTTCCTTCATATTTTATCATTCATTTTTAAAATTTCATTTTAACTTGAATAGAAAAAGCACAAATATGTATTAAAATATATACTATGTTTATAAAAATTTAAAGTCAATTGTTCAACTAGCCTAGTCTTTTTATCTTAATTTTTTTTTAATTAATGCTATTTATATAAAATGTGGATTTCATCATGACTCTGTCACACATATATGCAATGTGTTTTGATCACATTCATTTCCATTTGTCTCTTTCCTCTCAACATTTTCATATTAACCTAACCACCACCCTTAATACCAGCATAGTCTTTCTCTGAGGTGCTTGCTATCTGTGGAGATCTTGGCTGGATACAAGCCAAGAGCAACTGGACTTGAAGGTGACAGCTGGGGCTTGAAGGGACTTTGACTGGGAAATGCTTAACTTTTCCTTTGTCTGACTTGAGTGTGTTTTACTTTGGGAATTGCTTTATATAGCTGTGAGTTAATGTGGAAACTGTAAATATAAAACTGATTTAATCAAATGGTGTATCATTTATGTTTCATAGGAAACTTTTAAAGTAGAAAGTACATTTAACCTTCAAAGACATTTTATTTCAAACCTAGAGTTCCCAAGAATTTGACAACAAAGGTGTTTTCTATTATTTTCATGTTTATTAAAATAAATTAAGAGCAGAGGCGGTGGCTCAGCAGGTAAAAGTGTTTGACAACTTGAGTTTGATTTCCAGAATCCATGTAAACATCCACATATGGTATATATCTACAGCCTCAACACTGCTCTGTTTACATGGCAGGCAAAAATGGAGTTTCTCAGAAGCCTGTAGACTTCTGGAGTACACAGTTTCACAATGCAGCAGCAGAAACAAGAGAAAGATTCTGTCTCAGCAAGATATATGAAAACTGTCTTGAAAGTTGTCCTATGATACACACACACACACACACACACACACACACACACACACACACTTTATTAAAGGTATATTAATGTGGTATTTGCCATAAAAATTTAAAATATGATTATGAAAAGTATTAAAAGATGCTCAGAAGATCGAGGCCTGGAAGTACAGCTGTTAATCCCAGTTAATTGGGTAACTGAGATGGAATGATCACAAGTTCAAGAACATTCTGAGCAACTTGGTGATATCTAGTCTCAAAATAAAAAATAAAAACATTCGTGGATGTAGTTCAGTAGTACAGACCTTGGTTTGTATGAACAAGTCACTGTATTCATCCCCAGAATAAAAAAATAAAAACAAAAACAGATCACTGAAGTATGAATGCCTTCTAATAGTCACATATCTAAGGAAAATATATTTAATTTTTATTCAGTGTTGTTTTTAACAAAATCTCAGTCATTCAATTTTACTAATTTTACTAATTTTACTGATAAAGACTGAGGAGCCAGATGCTGGGGTAAAAGCCTGCTAGCTCAGAGAGGCAGAGAAAGCACCTAGCGCGCTCGTGCATGCCTACACATATAATTGTATGTGTGCATGTGTGATTGTATGAGGAGGGTTGTGCTTTCTAGTAGGCTGGAGTCCAGCAGGCCCCAGAGAGAGATTCTTATTTGTCTACTCCCCTTTGAGCTGGGATTATGAGAGCTGGCAGAGATGGCTAGCATCTATCAGGAGATCAAAGACTATTAGGTGTTCTTATGTTCTATAAACCTCTCCTAGTGTCTGAACTCAAATCTTCATGTTTGAGTAAGTGTTCTTAGTCACTTGAGCTATCTCTCCATCTCCCAGTCTAAAATTTTTTAAGGACTTTAAGACTGGTCTTAAGTGTGATGGTGGTGGAACATGCCTTTAATCCCAGCACTAGGGAGGCTGAGGCAAGCAAATCCCTGTAAGCTTGAGGCCAACCTGGTCTACAGAGCTAATTCCAAGACATCAAAGGTTGTTATACAGTGAAACCATGTCTTGAAAAGAAAAATGTAAAACAAAATAAAAAATGAACAAACAAAAAACCTGGCTTTAAAAGACCTCAAGCTAAGATCCATATATATTACAGGAACCAGATAATATATTAATTCCTTGGGGGAGGGAGTGGTTAATAGAACATAAAAAAAAAAGTTGGAGTAGGTAAAGTTGAAAGGAGTACCCAGAAGGCTGAGGGAGAATTTGTCTGAGTTGCCCCTCCCCCACTCTCAGAAGCCCTTTGTGATGTGGAGTCCTGGCTTTGTGATGGGAAGTCCCCAGATCTGTGACATGGGCCTGGGTTATCCTTCACCTCCCAGGGAGAACTCCCACCAGTTTGATTCAGATGGAGAATCTTCCCTCTATTCTGGAAAGCATATACACCACATGGCTAAGCCTCAACTCCACTATGTGGGCCATGGACGTGATCCTTGCCTTTGTGTGTGGACTGGGGCTCTACATCCTGCTACTTCCCTTCCTTGAGAGTCATCTATCTTCACCTTTACCAAATATGAAGTTCACCAGGAGGGTAAAAATTCTCAATCTAATCATATAACCAAACAGAAAATTCGCTTTCTCTCTCTCTCTCTCTCTCTCTCTCTCTCTCTCTCTCTCTCCTCTCTCCCCTCTCTCCTCTCTCTCCTCTCTCTCTCCTCTCCTTCCCTCCATGTCTCCCTCTGTCTCCCCTTTCACTTCCTTCTTCCTACCCATCCCAAACCCTCTCTGCATGTCTCTTAATTTTTAAATTATCATACAAAGTACTCGGTTTAATAATGGGATCTTCAAGCAAACTTTGTTTTTGTTGATTGTCTGCTGTCTTCCACCCCCTCTCCTCCCTCATCTCCCTTCTTAACTTCTGCTCCCCAACTCTCCACAAGCCTCTTTTTGTCTTACATGTCACATGGGTCCTTTTGCTTATCTCCTCTGCCTCAACAACACATTTCATCATAAATTTCTACTTTTCCAAATCAAGTAGAGAGATGGCTGGGGAGCCATCTCTAGAAAGAATAGGGTTGAGAGTAGTCACCAGAGCATCTGGAACTTGCAGTGTATCTGCAGGGTGTTCTGGTGTGCCAGTGCGGGCTTGAATGTTATAGTCATTGATAGGATCTGCATTCTTGATATAGTTGGGGACATCTATATCAGGCACTGGATAAACATTGAGCACTGGTTCACATGTTCCCTTCTCCTATACAGTCCTTTTCTCTGTGATGATCTGAGGGCTGTGCTGAGCCTCAAAAGATATTAGATCAGAGGCCAGAGTGACATCTGGCTTCAAGAAGCAGAATTCTACCTGGCAACTATGAAGTAACTATAGAGATTTGACTCTGGGGCAGAGCAGTGACAGTAGGCATCCATGGTTGGCCTCACATTATTTATGCCTGTGCATCTATCAGGAGACCAAAGAATATCAGGTGTTCTTATGCTCTATAACCCTCTTCTTAATTTCATTAGACAGAGTCCATGCAGCCCCAGTGCTATGGGAGACAGAGACAGAAGAGGATCTCTGGAATTTGGTGTCTCCCAGCCTAGCCCCAAGTTCAGACCCTCTCCTGTCTTTGCCTCCCTTAGCACTGGGGTCACAGGTACATGTGCAACTATGTGGCTTTTGGCGACCTGAACTTAGGTCCTTACACAGCAATGTTCTTACCCACTAGGTCATCTCCACAGCTCCCCCTTTATATTTCTTAAACAATGAAAACTGGTTGGGAAAAAGTTCTCAGTAAGTAAAGGGCTTGTTTTGCAATCATGATTTGTGTTCATAAACTCAGCATCCAGTTAGGAAACTGGGCATAGTGATATGTGCCTGTAGTCTTGGTGCTGGGAAACAATTACAGAAGGATCCCTGAAGCTTGATGGACAGCCAGTCTAACTGTATCAGTAAGTACCAGGGTTAGAAAGAGATTCTGTCTTTAAAAATTAGACAGAGTGATAGAAAAATACTGGCATGGATCTCTGGTCTCTCATATTCATATACATTTGTATACACACTAGAGAGAGAGAGAAAGAGGGAGACAGAGGCAGGCAGACAGACAGACAGACAGACACACACACAGAGCGAGAGAGAGAGAGAGAGAGAGAGAGAGAGAGAGAGAGAGAGAGAGAGAGAGAGAGAGAGAAAGAGAGAGAGGTGTTCTAACTCACTTTAAAAATGTGAAGTTAAAACAACAAAAACCAGAACCACCAGCCAAGCTTGGTGGCACACTTCTTTAAACTCAGTACATGGAAGGCAGAGGTAAGTAGATTTCTGTGGGCTCAAGGCTAACCTGGTTTATATAGTTAATTCCAGGCCAGCAGGGCTGGGGAGATATCTTAGCATTTAAGAGCACTTGCTGTTCTTCCAGAGGAACCAAGTTTGCTTACCAGAATTCATAGCCCACATCTACCTATACTCTAGTTACAGGAGATCCAACACACTATTCTCATCTCTGTTAGTCACCAGGCACATAACACACACACACACACACACACACACACCACCTCACATACATACAAAAAAACATTAATCCCATATCAATTTAAAAATTCATGAGTATCTTCAGCTTCTCTAGAGAATTAAAACCTCTCTCTCTCTCTCTCTCATTTCTCAGCCTCAGCTGCAGATGACCTGTCAGAGCCGGTGCAGGAAAAAGTTTAGGACTTTTTTTTGGAAAGATCCCAAAGGTAAGTCAGTCTCTGCCATTCACTTGCCTGTGAGGAGCTAACACCGTTTTTTTTTTTTTTTTTTTTTAGTGAGTTGCAGAGGCCTAAGTGGGGAGGTTCTTGGGAAGGAACTAAGTACCATACTCAGGTTCCTGTCTTAGAAGAAAGATGTGATGAATCAGCTGACTGGAGTTCCTAACAGGGAAGTCTCTGGACTATTAGGAACAATGTTACCAGGGTTTGGAGGTAGGACCTGGAGTAAAGCTGATTCTTTTTTGAGTTGACTCCATCCTTTCTCTCATAGGTCAGTTAGAAGGATCACAGAGGGTGACAGCTATGGGAGCTCTTATAAATGATTAAGTGCTGTATATACCTCTACCTTGTGAACCCTATTGATCATGGATCACATGACTTTGAATGCTAATGAGCAGGCTCTAGAGTCTCATCTCATAATCTTTTCTAATGGGGTACCCACAAATTTAGATTACTGTAAAAGACCTACACCTCACCTTCCACTATCATAACCCAGTCTCCTAATTTCTAGCTTGTGGAGATGGCCTGAAAAAGCCGAAAGAAAAAGGCCTGAAAAAGCTGAAAGAAAAAGGAAAAGATGGATTATTTCTAGAAGAAATTAGCCCAGGACACCATTTGAATTCTTTAGGAAACATGTCTAGGTCACTAAGTACTAAGCAAGACAGCACTACCCTGCCACCCTTCTGGAACCTGGAAGAAAAATCAGAACAGCAGATGGCCACTCAGAAACTATCATATCCCAAGATCTTGGGAGACCATTTTCAACAGAAATACAAGCAGCTTTTCTGGGGTCTCCCTTCTCTGCACAGTGAATCTCTAGTGGCTGCTGCCTGGATCTCTCAGACTTCTTCTACTCTTCCTTCTCCCTTTTTCTTATTCAATGTCATCTCAAGTGTTTATCCAATTCAAATGCAAGATAAAATGTCTTCAGTGCTTTCCCACACACATCCTCTGTCCTACCTGGACCTCCAATCTCCGCCCTTAATTCTGTCTCCACCCCAATTTCAGCCCCCAGTTCTGAATCAAGTCCATCTTCAATCCCCTCTCCCAGCTCTACTACCCTCTCCCCTACCCTACACAAGGGATTATGGAACATCTTGTTCTCAGTCACAAAGTAAGCCACAGTGTCTCCCTACGGAAGCACAATACAGAGAAAGGCCCTCACTGGCAAAACAACCAGAAAGTAGATTGGCTTTTCCTTTGATGGACCAGAGACCTCAAAAAGTCTATGATGTCTTGGCCCCTGACCTTTCCCAAGACTTGGCAGTCTCTATCCTTCCTGACAATTTTCCAATCAGCTCTGAGCTCCGGGAGAAGCTGGAGCAACACATACAAAAGTGGCTCATTCAACACCGATGGGATCTTCCTCGTAAGATACAAGAGTCTCTGGATGTTATGCAGTTTCAGAACATAGTAACAGCAACTTGTCAAACCAGGGACAAACCTGGTTGCTCACAACCCTTTGTGTCTGTGGGTGAACATAGCAAGGATGGCCAAAAGGTGAGATTCCAGCTAGAAAAGGAATCTGGCAAGAATTTGGGACCTATTCTAGGAAAGATATCAAAAGATCCAATCAGGTACTTAGAAAAACCTCCAGTAAAAATGCCAGAGACAAATCTTTTGGAGTCAGAAATAAATCCAATAAAGATCTTGAAGAGCAACTCCAGAAATGACTTAACAAAACACATAGACAAGAATCTAGAAAACACCCTGAAATCTCATTTGGGCACAAAGTCAGGGCAAATCAATCAAGGTCTGATCCCTCTGAGTGTGCGCCGATCCTGGCTTGCTATGAACAAAGGTTTTTCCACGTCTGACATCCGTATGGAAACTAAAAATTCAGCATCCTCGAAGAGTTCAGAAAAGTCTGTGAGCTCTTCACAGAAACTTGCCTTTCTTGATCCAGACACTCGACAGTCCTTGGAGGCACATGTTGTAAGATTTTGGGTGAAGCACAGGTGGAGTCTACCCCTCAAGATACTCAAGCCCATACATCTCTTTAAGTTGAAAAGTGTTGAATCCTTGCCCATTGCAGTGTGTGCCCCGCCCCTCGAAAACACCCCTGTATCTGGGACCAGTTCATCAATTGAGGTAGTTGGGTTTCTAGAAAAACCATCTCAGACATGCTTCAGAGAGGTTATAATTAAGGATTCTTCATCATTAGGGAATCTTCTCCTTGTCTCCTCTTCTTGTAAGGATATCGAAAAAGCCCTGGGAGTGCTTCCTTGTGATGTTGACCACGAGTCTTCAAAGGCCCTGCCAACCAAACCAGAGAGCAGACATCATTCTGAAATTCTCACACATAACTTAATGGATACACTCTCTCAGAGTGGGACTGTCCTAGAGAAAGAGAAAGAGATGAAAGAAGTCCTTTTACTGTCTAAAAGGACTAGTCCACACAGCCACCAAGCAAAAGTTGTTAGTGAGTCTCCAAATAATGTGAAGACAGAATCAGCAGGCCAGTCACAAGTCTATACCACTTCTGTGTTCCTTCCAGAGCATTCCAGGAGCATGCTTCTTACTAAAGACACTTTGGCTTCACAGGTGTTAGGTGACATTGTGGTGGTAGGAGGGGACAATAGCCTAGTGCAGCAGAAACCTAGTACTCCAAAGCATCAACTCTCACAGAAGGAGCAAATCAAGGTTTTGGCCCCTACTTATCAAGGTGAAGACACTAAAAATCAGAGTAAAGGAAAGCATGAAGAAAAGCCCAAGTTCACCAGAGTCAAGGAGAAAGAAGAAATATTTAGAAGTAAACACTATCAGCCCCCTCCAAAACCCACACTGGTTCCTCCAGAAAGCCCCTTCCAAAAGCTTTTGAGCCGCTTTTTTCGATGGATTCAACTCAAGAGAACAATCAAAGAGCAGAAATCTCCTCCCAAGAAAGGTAAGCCTACCACAACTGCCCAGAGCCAACCAAAGCAAGTGAAAAAGAAACATGTGGACAGCAATGTTGCTGAGGCCCAGGAGCTTATGGCAGCTGTTGGAGAGATATTAGAAAAGAAAATGATGCTGCAACGTACACTACGTGATTCAAAGTTCAACCAGCAAAGGGAAACTCGACCACCCCATGCCCCTCAGTCTTCCTATGGCCACCAGCCAGCCTCCAACACAGAGCAAAGGAGAACGCCCAGTCACCCAGCCAGTTCCTCTTGTAAGAAGTGTTCTATACAGGACAGGCACAGAGACCAACCATCTCAGAAAATTGTACGATTTAGCAATGAACCACAGACCCCTCAGGATCCCAGCCTCTTGTCCTCTAACACACCTTCGAACCTAGTGTGTTCCTCCTACTATGGAAGAGTAGTGCTAGGTGTCTCAGGTCACCAACTCCACTGTCCTAGGCACTGTGCTCTTCGGAGAAGTGTCTGTAGCCAACTATAAAGTTCCTCTCTAGTTTTTTCTAGTAGGAAAACATAATCAAAAGAAAAAAATTAGTCCATGTAAAAATTATTTTTCTCATGTTAGTACATTCAAGATATTTAATGTAGCCCCAAATACATGTTTTTCCCCTTATAAAAGGGTAATGGTTTCTGTCTGTTCCATGTTTTATATGGTCCTTGGCTTCTAGCAGGGATAAATTAGGATGGATGATAGACAGAGATAGTGCAAACCCACCTCCACAAAAACTCTTAACATCAAAACATGGTTGTCAGTGTCCAGGGAGATGGTACTGTTGGTAAAATGCTTGATGCAAAAGCATAAGGACCTGAGTTTGGATCTCTAGCATACATGTAAAGAGCCAAGCATGGTGATACACATTTTTATTCCCGATTCTGGGGAGAGGAAGATGAAAGGATCCCTGGCTAGCTGGCTAGTCAAATGAGTGAGCTACACATTCATTAAGTGGCCTTGCTTCAAAAATAAAAAATAAAAAAAGACCTATTGAGGCAGATACCCAACACACACACACACACACACACACACACACACACACACATACACACACACACACACTATGTGTCCACACATAAAGGTGACAGGATAATGAAAACTCAGATCATTCCATCTCATATCCGGTTCAATCCACATTTCCATTGCTTTACCTTAACCTTAAACTTTAGGCAACTGCAAAGACTAGGCAGACAGAGGCACCTTAAGTCTCAAAATTCCCCCAGGGGCTCCAGACAGGGCCAGAGCCAAATAGCTTTCCTTGTTGCAAAATAGGCATGAGTTTGGATGGGGGCTGGGCATTATGTTTTGTTCTGAGCTCAGAAGCAGCAGAAAGCTTGCCCATAGATTTCTTGGTGGAAAATAGATAATGCTTGCCTCTGGAAAGCCTCTTCTCTTGGGGAAAGGTATGGATAGTTTAGCCTTAAGAAAAATTCAGTCATATGATAGCCACTTCTCTGCATTCCCCAATCTCTAGAACATCAGAGAAAACCATATTCCAGGTCAGGGTGATGATATCATTCAGGAATGCCACTGAAGGTCATGTTTATTCCGGAGGAGTAGTTCTACAGCTCATTTACCTTAGTCTGTCTCACAGCTATCTCATATCCAGGGAGGCATTCTGGGTGAATGAAGAGAGGGATATGATTGACAGTTGGGGAGTGTAGACTGAGGGTTGTATAAAAATAATTGAAAACTTTTAGAGGCAAAGATAGAAGCATGAAGGTGCCATAAATTTGCTGTGAGTGAGGAGCCCTTGCTGTTCCCCTGCCACCTGGAAGCCAAGAGGAGGATGCTAGAGCCAAGTGGTTCATCCTGGTCACATTTGTATCCAATTTGTGATCCTTGGTCTCAGACCTAAAGAAGCCAAAACAAAGACCAAAACAAGCAAAACAAAACAAAACCTACTACCAGTAGAGAGGTGAAAATTTACAAGTGTGGAGGGGATGGTCTGGGGTCACACAGAAAAGTTTGCTCAGCTCTTTGTTCTTGCTTAGTTCAGAGACCAATAGGAAGGACACAATCAGAAAGAACACAATCAGGAAAGAACACACTCTGTCAGTAACTTGTCAAAAAAGAACTCCCTATCCTGTGTAGGAGGGTACAGGAGAGTCTATATTCTACTCTCTGTTTCCAGCATTCCTTCCTCCCGGGTTCTGTCCATGCAGGAAGCTAGAAGGAAGAGGAACCTTTTATGTGAAGAACATGTTCCAAGCTGTGCTACACACAGGACACAGACTACCCACAGCTTAGAAGCCTCATACCCATGGTGGAGGTCCTTGCACTAGACCTATCCTGATGACAACAGAAATGGGCCCTGAACTCCACAAATGGGATTAAGCTGATAACTCACCTACATGTAGGGACAGTAACCACAGGCCCCTGGGGTCTGGATGCTGATGTCACTAGCCTTCTCTTAAAGATAGACAACCAAGTTAGCATCCCGAGTGGGACCAGCAGTGAGAACAGAGCTTGGACTGACAGGAGGGTCTGGAAATTGAAGCATAGGTGTTTTCTAGCCTAAAAAGCAAAGAAGAGGGTAATATAGAGTTGGACCTTGACTTCGGAAGAGGCCATGTCTGGCTGCTTCTGACTTTCAGGACACCAAGAGGTAAGTTCTCTGAAGTGTGGAGGAACTGGATCAAGACACCATGGTTCCTATCAGGAAAAGGGCAATAAATTGGTTACACTGTTGAACCAGACAGGAAACATTGATTCTCCATCCTTTGTAAGGTTCAGGAAAGCCATTAAAGAGCTCTACAGAAGCCTCCCAGAGAGGCTTCAAATGGCATGTGTGCCTTTCACTACCTCACATTGTTTTATAACCTGAAACTTCTCATGATGACTTTCCAAAAGAACCTCACACAGCTGAGTCCTCATGTCAACCTATGAATGCCCCATGGAGATTTCTGTGAGAGCTCCAATACATAAATCTCACAGACTGCCCTTCAGAGGCCTCCACAGGAGCTACACAGAGACTTCTCAGTCACACAGAGGCCTCAATTTCAAAGATGCATCCTTTCTCACACACATTCCCAGACCCTGCAGTTAAACCTCCATAAATATGTGTATAGAGACCTTTCCCAAATAGCAAATAGAGACCCACAGATACTGCTCACAAAACACCCAAGGCAGCACAAAGCCCCAGAGTTCTTCCAAAGACACCCCCCTAGTCAATATACAGAGATCCTAAAGCCCAGATTCCCCCCAGAAAAATCCCAGAGGCCCCCTCACAGATATAGTCAGAAAACACAGACTCCCCAAGTCTCAGAAATATCTCACAGAGACTGCCTTCCCATGTCCCACAGACCTTTCTTTGGTTGTTACAATCACCACCCTGAGAAAACCAGGGGATGTTTCCTACTTCTCACAGATCTGACTCTGAGAGCTCATTAGAGACTGTCATAGAGACTTCCCATGGAGCAGTCTGCTTCTCTCAGACACCCTACAGAGACAGAACACCATATAGAACTCCCACACAATACAGATCTCCCATTGTCTGGGGATGCAATAAAAAAAGCTCACAGAGCAAGCTTTCCCAAAGGTTTCAAACTTCTCACAGTTCACACAAAATCTATGGAGACTGCACAGAAACCTCATTTAGTGTTCTCAGCAGAAAACTGGCACAAGGGTCTCATATGGAGAGCCTGAGCGGTTGATGATGAAACTGCTTAACAAAATGGTACCATAGATAGGATTGTATTGTGAGTCACTGAGAAACACCACTACATTGTCAGCATTATACCAAATGGGAATGTCTTATTGAAGAAACATTTTGTAGTTTATTTTTATTTTAGTAGTATTTCTTTTATTTCTGAAGGAAATCTACATTAAGATCTGCAAAAACATTTTCTTTTACAATATTTCATTTGAACTTTGTCTTAACCTGGGGAGTGCTGAGGGAATGAAGAAAGGACTAACAGACAAAGGTATAGGAAAGTTGGGATTAAGTGGAGTCTGCTACCACCCCAACTAGGAACCTCAGTGTTTATTATGTACAGCTCAGTGAAAGGGGTTACCTAGTCTCGGTAGGAGGTCTCTATAGGTGAGCAGTCTCAGGCTATAAAAATTCTACAAAAAGGAAGCTGTGGTTGCTAGTTTTTGTGCACAATGAGGGAAATATTGACATTTTTCTAGAGCATGGCCAATATAGGTAATGGCTTTGGAAATTTCTCATGGGTCCTAGGGCCATTGAGTCCTGAACATGGCTGTGTGCATGCCAACAACACACATTCACTCTGGACTTAGCTCACTTAGAGGGCTTCCTCTACTCCCTACAGAACTCTGATCCACAATTTAGATAATCATACATTTTCCAACAGGAGTAAACTATGGTCAACTTCCAACAAAAGTATCTTGTCAGTTTGTTACCATTTGCCCAAATTGTATCAATGCCATATTTTTGTATCTCATCGGGAGCAAGTTTTGAACTTAGATGGTTTGCTTCTTTACAAAGACCTACAGCAAAGAAACCAAAACAACTTAAGGAATGAGAGGATTTATTTGTCTTATACTTTCAGTGTATTTCCTTTTTGTCCAATGAGCCCCACCCACAAAATGCTCAATGCAATGAGTCATTGGTGTGGTTCAAAGTCTCGGGCACATCATCATCACTGGATCCTCACCAAAACTCCTTTTGGATATTTTGCTGTTTTCCTGAGTCATGGAGATCCTGCAGTTATCCATTCAGCAGGACTAGTTCCTTCATGCACTCCAGCAGGTCATAGATGGGGTGAATGTTAGGGGTGAGCCAACCCAAGAACCAGGATGTGGGTCTAGATGTTAGTTGAGCTAACATCTGGTCAGTCCAGGCCACTAGGACCAGCTCCCTCTGGCAAGGAGCAGAACCAGCTCTCCATGCCATTGGGGCCAGCTCTCCTATGTCCATGGTGAGGGGTGGACCCAAATCTCCAGGGTGCTGGTGCTGGCTCTCACATAGTAGAACAGAGCTATCTTTCCTGTTGCAATGAGGGGTGGGGCATGCTCAGCATTGCCCTTGCCTCTCCACAAACATGGTTCCTATGAGGCCCTGTGGACATGATCACAGACCCCAGCTGCATCAAGAACCCAAACCCAGGTATCACCCTTGGCGGCAGCTCAGGCCTGAATATCACCAAGGGCAGCCCAGGCCAACCAGACCAGAATGGCCTCTAAAAGTCCACTGTTGATGGAAGTTTCTGTCCCACCCAGTCCTGCAGCTGTTTTGTCCCAAATAAACATACAGAGGCTTATATTAATTATAAACTGTTTGGCCTGTGGCTCAGGCTTCTTTTTGGCTAGTTCTCTCTTAATTATTAACCCATTTCTATTTGTGTATCTCCATGTGGTCTTAGCTTATTGGTGATGTCTGGGCCTCTTTCTTCCTCAGCAGCTACATGGCTTCTCCCCCACAACTTACTCTCTGCATTCCTCTTCCTAGAATTCTCCTATTCTGGTAGCCCTGCCTACACTTCCTGCCTGGCTACATCCTGCCATTCCATTGGCTGAAACAG